GGACACCTTCCACCTCTCCAAGGAGGGGTCACCCGCTGCCCCCGAGAGCCTGCGTCTGCCGGCCCCCGCGGCCCCCGCTCAGGCCAACTTCACCTTCAGGGCTGCGACCTCAGCCCGGGGGGGCACCTACAGGTGCTACAGCTCACACAGCAGCTCCCCCTTCCTGCTGTCCCAGCCCAGCGACCCCCTGGAGCTCCGGGTCTCGGGTGAGGCCCCACTCTGCCTGTGTCCTTGCCTCTGCAGGGCTCTGTCCCAGGGAGCTGTGCGCTGGGAAGGAAGCAAAGGCGGGAGGGAGGAATGGACCGGTCCACACCCGTGGGGCGGAGGCCCGACTCCTGCCCATCAGACCCACCTCGAGGCGACCCGCTGCGCTCCAGCTACAGGCGCCAGACCGCCTCTCTGGCCCCTGCTGGGAGCCTGGTAGAGATGAGGGGACACAGGGCTCCGGCCCAGGGCTGGCAGGTGCTGGTGCGCAAAGGAAGCTGTCGCCGCCCTCCCCACGCAGAGGCGGCAGGCTGACAGCCCCTCCTCACCCCTGCTGACCCAAGGCTGGGATGAGGCTGGCGGGGCGAGTGAGGTCAGCTGGAGAGCTGGGTGCCGGCGGGGCTCGGCTCTAGAGCTGACGTCACCACTTCGAGGTAAAGGCCTGAGAAACCACTTCTCACTGGGACCTGTTTCTCAAGTACATAGGTCAGGAAGGCTGCTTGGACAATGTTAAGGGTGTTTTGGGGGGCCGGGGTGTCTGGCCCCTCTGTAAGCTCAAGGGCTCAGCCTTCCAAGGATAAGAGCGAAATCAGGAAAGATCGGAGCCCCAGCCCGGGCCCACCCGAGACGCGCGTGGGAGCTGAGCGGCCGGCCCCTCCCAGGCCAGTGTCGGGCCGCTCTCCAGCTGGCAGCCTTGAGCTTGGGCCCTTGCTCCGGGGCCGCCGGCTGCCCTCCCAGGCACACACCACAGGCCCACACGGGCTCTCTGGTCCATGGCAGGAGTAACTGCCTGGGCAGCTGGGAGTGAGCAAGGACTGAGACTCGGGGCCATGTCTGCACTGCTGCTCTGAAGGGTGAGGGGACAGGACACAAATAATTACTGAGGCCTCCCCGGTGGCGCAGCGGGTCACAGCGCAGCACTGAGAAGCTAAAGCCGCTTCCGCACGAGTCTGATTCCCTGCTAGGGAGGCGACCCCATGGCGCGGCAGACCTCTCCTGACCGCCCGCTGCTCCCCTCAGCAGTGGACTTCGTCGGTCTGCCTGTTCTGCTCCCCACTCTGTCTCTGGTGACTCCTTCACTGTCCCTGCACCTCTGGCCTGTACCCCAGTTCTGTATGCCAAAATAGATCTTAAAAAAAATTATTGAAAAAGTGAACCCTCAGTCCTGGTCCAGTCCCAGCCCTGAGCCATGAAGGCTGGTGCCCTGGACAGGTTTCTCTCTTGCTTGCATAGAACTGGCACAGAGACCAGAGGCGCAGCAGAGTGGGGCGCGAACGGGCGGACCCACCGAAGCCCTCTACGTGCATGGCACATAGAGGGGATGCAGAGCGGGGAGCAGAGCGGGAGGGGGAGGCCCGCTGTGCCGTGGGTCAGCTCCCTGCTGGGGGCTGCACTCAGGCCGTAAAGACGGCGTGAGGCTCAACCCCTAGGGCCTTGGGGTTATTAACCTCTCTGAGCTGTGTCCGCGTGGACACTGGGGGAGAGGAGGGGCAGGGAGGAGAGGAAGCCATGCAGCCTGCCGGCACGCTCACTTCAGGGGTCCTGGCTCCGGCATCCCCGCAGGCGCTCAGGGTCTCAACTGGCCGTCCTGGAGTGTTCTGATTGGGCTGTCAGTGGCCTTCCTCCCGCTGGGCGCCCTCCTCCTCCTCCTCACGCTGCGAGGGCGACCGCGGTGTCAGACTAAACACAGCAAGTCAGGTAAGTCAGCGAGCAGAGGACAGGGCGACCCGGCGCCCGAGGTAGTGGGGCTCTCCCGGGGTGACAGTGGGCTGGAAGAGCCCGGAAGACAACGAAGATGGGGATGTCCTTTAGAGAACTATCTAGCACCTCCCCATGAGAAAATGTAAACAGACTACACGTAAGTGTGCACTGACCATTCCAGGGGCTCTCCGCACGCAACGGCTGGCTGGTTTGCTTCTCCGTTTCCAAGTTGTCCCGCGCATTTGGCGAGGCGGGGGGGGGGGGGGGGGGGGGGGGGGGGCGCGGCTGGCGTCTGATTTCCAACTTCCTACAGAGTCTGCGGCATCCACGCGGGACGACAGGGCTCTGCAGAACAGGTGAGACCTGCGCCGGGGCCCCCGCTCCCGGACGCCAACCCCCCCCCAGGCTGCCACTAATGCTCCTTCTGCCCCCCCAGTTCGGGCCCAGCTGCTGGCACACAGGAGAGCTTCTGTAAGTGGAGACTGTCCCGGCGGGGGCGCTCGGGGACCAGACTGGCAGACAGGGCTGGGTTTGGGGGTGAACGGGCAGCAACCAGCCCCGCGTGGCCTTGGCCACGGCACTAGCCCTCTGGGTTTCTGCTGAAAGACCACCTCAGCCAAGGTGGGGGTCCTCTGTTCTGTCCTCCCAGATGCTGTGGTACAAGACACACAGCCCAAGGGCAGGCAGTGGAACCGACAGGTGAGCCCCCGCAGGTGACCGGCAACCTGGGTCTGCTCAGTCACTGAACACAGCAACCATTCTCCACACTCAGCCCACACAGCAAACAAGCCAGGAACACTCTGGGTGGCTGCACCGCACCCCTTGCCGACCTATGGGGGTCTCCCCAACCGCCAGCTGCCGTGGGCTCGGGGCCAGCGGGGGGAGCTGGCAGTGGTGGTGGACAGGCCGTGAGCCCGAGCCGCTCAGCGCGAGGCCATCCTCTCGTCTGTCCAGGGGTGAACACGGGCCCATCCGGTAGGTCAGCCGCCCCACCCTCACTGGCCGGCAGGTCACTCCCTTGCCAGGCAGATCCAGTGGTCACCCAGGGCCAGCTGTGGCCACCGACAGATGTCTCATCACATCCTCCTCCCTATGCCTGACTCCAACCCCCCAACCCCAACTGCCGCCCCTAGACAGGTGCCCCCAGGACCGCGTCTCTTCCTCCCCAGGCTTGCCTGAACACACCCTGCTCTCCCGTCCAGGCTGCGGCCCCTGCGGCCCCCCAGGAGGTAACCTACGCCCAGCTGAACTACGTGACGCTCCAACAGGAAACAGCAGCCCTGTCCTCCCCAGAGCCACCCCCCGGCAAGGCCAGTGTGTACGCCACTCTGGCCGCCCACTAGCCCCCGCGGGAGCTCCTGGCCTGCTTCCCAGGCCCTAAGTTCACACGGAGCCCTGGGGGGAGGGGAGAGGCAAAGCCAACCCCAACTGTACGGACTGGGCAGTGGGCCGTCTGTGAAGCTGGCCAGGCGAGGAAGGGACAGCAACGGGTTCTCACTTCCTGCCATCAAGCCACTTCCTCCTGCCAACAGAGCTTCTCGAGGCATTAAAAGCTCACTTGCATCCAGACCCGTGTCTTCGGACTCCAAGGGCAGGGCCCTGAGGTGGTGACCAAGGTAGCTTACCTGCCCCCACACCTGAGCCTCGCTCTGGCTGTGGACTGCGCGGTTCCCACCTATAGTCCTGTTACAAGCTCATTCCACCAGCAAGCACAGGGGGCTGTCGCCAATGGCGGCAGCCGTCAGGCCCACGCAGACTCCACCTCGTCCCTCCTCCCTCGAACAGAGCTGCCTGGCTCCAACAGCTGCTCTCTGCTGTGATGACCACGCAGGTCTGAGTTAGCCCAGGCGGCCTGGCCAGAGGTAATGGCCTCGCCGTCACCAGAGCTCACTTGTCCAAAGTGGCGCGGTGGGGGTGGAGGAGACTCGAGGGGAAAGACACAGTTCCAAGCACTGAGGACATGCTTTATTATCAGAGCGCGACAGCAGCCACTCCGCCCCCCGGGGGCAGAGGCGAGGACCCTTAATCCTCCTCTTCATCGTCGCCGGCGCCGGCCCCGCCCTGGCCCTTCTTGGCATTCTTCCTCTTCACGCGGCCTGGGCGGCCGCCGCCGTAAGGAGAGCGGAGGGAGAAGTCGATGTGCTTCTGGGAGTCCAGGCGGACAATGAAAGATGGGATGTTCACCACCTGCTTGCGAACCCTGGACGGGGTGGGGGGACAGGTCAAGGGACAGGAAGGAAGTCACGCGCTGCTAAGCCGCACTGACCCTGAGGAAGCCAGAGGGTGTTCCGCTACAGTTCCTGCATTCACTCAAAGATGGGATGTTCACCACCTGCTTGCGAACCCTGGACGGGGTGGGGGGACAGGTCAAGGGACAGGAAGGAAGTCCGCGCGCTGCTAAGCCGCACTGACCCTGAGGAAGCCAGAGGGTGTTCCGCTACAGTTCCTGCATTCACTCAAATGCTTTAAGTTCGTTCATCTTCCAGAGGGGAAAGGAAATTCGGCTGCAACCGCAGAAGAGGTGACGTGGCGTACAACCACAGATGTGGCTTTCCAACACCCCAAACCGTGCTCCCCAGGTCTAGTTCCTGTTCCACTCTCCTTGAAGAACAGCCCGAGGCCAGATTCTATGGAGCCAGTGGAAGGGAGGCCCTTCCTGCAGGCGGCAGGCTAGGTCTGGGGCGGAAATCAGCATGCAGGTGCCCGGGCACCACCGCCGGGTACTGGTGCCTTGTTTTTTTTTTTTTTTAAATGTTTATTGACGCATATAGGCCTGTGGCACAGGCCAGAGGTGGGGGATTGAGAGGCTTCCCCAGAGACAGAGTGGGGAGCAGAACAGGCAGATGGAGGAAGTCCACTGCTGAGGGAGCAGCGGGGAGACAGGTCTGCGTGCCCTGGGTCACCTCTGGGGCGGGATCGAACTTGTACTGAAGCGGCTGCAGTCCTCACCGGGTGCGCCACCGGGAGGGCCCCTGGTGCCCGTTTTACAAAAGGGCAAGCTGTACAAAGAGCGAGGGGGTCTGAGGGCATCTGACTGGCCCCCGTGAACCAACTGCTACCACCAAGCCAGCAAACTCCCACAGCCCCTGGCATCTGAGCTGCAGTGGTGAGTTCACCCAGTGAGCCCGAGAGCCAAGTGAGCCCAAGCACCTGAGCAGCAACTCCGAGGGCTGTTACCTGTCTTGCTGACTGCCCACAGCCTGCGGGCGGAAACCTTCACAAGGTGTACGACTTAAGCCGCATTGACCCTTGCGCTGGGCCACGGGGGAGTGGGGAAAGGCTGCTCCCACACCCCCCACAAGCTGGCTGTGCGGATCAATCTGTGCCCTCAAGGTGAGCTCACGCCTCTGTCACCTCCCAGGGCTGCGTAGGAGATGGAGAGCAGGCTCAGTGAGGGCAAGCAGCGGGGAAGGGGAGGGCTTGGGAGCCGACGTGGCGGTACCTGATGTGGCGCTGGCGGATGAGCACGCGGGCATGGTGGATGGACTTGGCCAGGCCCAGTTTGAAGACCTGCGTTTGCAGGCGCCGCTCCAGGAAGTCCTCAATCTTCAGGCCGAGGATATAATCCAGCTTCATCTTACCCTCGTCCAGCACCCCAATCCGGACAAGTCGCCGCAGCAGGGCATTACCTGGGGAGAGAAACAATACCCAGGGTCTGACTGATACCGCTTTTTGGGGTTCAGATCCTCTGCCTCTTACTACCACAGATGAGGACAGGAAAGAGCTACCTCAGCATGAGACTCGATGCACTGGTTACTGTGACAAACAACCTAACACAACCTAAGGCCCGCAAGACGCCTGCCTGCAGCTATGAGGTCAGGTGACCACGCCTGTGCCTTCCGCACTAAGAGCACAGGCAACATTCACCTTCAAGCTAAGCGCTGTTACACTCGCGAACAGCACAGTGGTCACAGGCAGTATTCTGCAGTCCATAACCTTAAAGCAGATCTAGCTACCTTTCCTTCCAGGCACCTCAGGTTCAGGCTATCCTACGTGCCCAGATCGCGCACAGCTACTGACCACTGAGTCTGGAGTGGCCCAGAACCCCAAGGGCAACCTCCCGCCCCAGACTCTCATCACTGGGTTTCTCACCACCACAAGATAATGCCAATAACATCTTCATAATGCAACAAATGTCAGAAACTATTATCTCATTAGAAAGAAATAGCTCCGGGGCCCTCCTGCTGGCTGGTTAAGTCCCTGCACGGTGAAACTACCAGCAACCACAACATGAGTTTGCTCCCGGCCAGGGGTGCTGTACCCACAGGGCGCAACAGCCCTCTCCTGTCTCCCTGCTCTCAGTGATTTCAGTAGACCTGCCCGTTTTTTGTTGCTTCCCACGGTCTCCGCGAGCCCTCTTGCCCCCTGCACATCGGGCCTGTACCCCAGTTCTTGTATGCATACATAACTCTTAAAAAAAAAAAGAAATAGCTTCACATTTTATGTATCATCTTTGGTTATAGCAAAAGAACTCCTAAGCAAAGCCCACAGAAAGGAACCCACATTTCTTGGACACCTCAATGTTCCTAGCGCCACTGTCTCCCATCCCCAAAGGAAATGTGAGGGAAGCTGATGGCGAGCAAACCAAAACAAAGAAATACACGGTCTTTCCCAGCACCCCAAGCCCTAACATGGCTTCACTTTTTTACAGCAATGAATGCAGAAGCTGAGACAGATAAACCTGCCCAGAAACTTCACACCTGGTAAGAGCACTGCTCAGCAGAACGAGTGCTGTCCAGCGTTTGTTCTAAAAGGAATATTGCATTTTAAAGAGACTTTCAGGAAGCTTCTTCCCTGACTAATACACATTAGTGGGAAAGGCTGGATTCAGGCTGTACCAGAGTCTGCAGGCTCGTCCCTGCTGTTCTAGGCTAACAGCTTCATTTCCTAGTCTAGACTGAGGGCGCCACTTTCTCCCTTGCAAATTCCACTTCTCCCTCAGAAACCACAAATCCTTTGACACCTGCACTTATCATCTCTGCCAGAGCTAACAATCAAGCCATGGACATACTTGAGTATGTTTCATTGTGAATAGCTCAACCTTCCGTCTTTCCTCACGGAGCAGCTATGTTCTGCTCCCTTTACTCTGTTCTTTGTAATGCCAATTTTTGTTCTGTTAAGTCTGCTACTGATTCCCCATCTCAATGCGGGAACTAAGGCCTTCAGCTAAATCTGACTAAAATTTCTGCATCTGTACAGACACGTAAATATATTTAAACACGAGTTACAGAAAGAATCTAAGCCCCTATGTATGATCTCTGCCTCCTCCCAAAGTCTGTATCTGAATGTTGTTCAGACCTTTGGCTAAAAGTCACCTAAATGTCCCTGCCCACCTTAAGAGAACAGGCAAATACACATACCTAAGCCCCCCTCACCGTGTTTTCTTTTTTTAAAAAGGTTTATTGATGCACACAAGAACTGGGGTAGAGGCCAGAGGCACGCGAGGAGGGGTGAGAGGATCCACCAGAGACAGCGGGGAGCAGAACAGGCAGCTGTAGTGAAATACTGCTGAGGAGAGCAGCAAGCGGGTCAGAATTCTGCCGTACTGTGTGTGTGGGTCACATCTCCCTGGTCGGGGATAGAACTTGGGCTGCAGTAACTGCCAATAGCTTCACAGTGCTGTGCCACAGGAAGGCCCAATCTTGTTACCTTCATCCAACATTCCAGAAACCCTAATGTCCAGTTCTACCGCTAGCAAACAGACTACATAGGCAGCAGACTGCTTTCCCAAGCTTGTATGCATTACTAGTTCTAATTAACAGTAAATTTAAGCTCGTGTTTGGGTAAAATGAAGGCGCACACATAAGGCAGGGAGCGACTGGGGCTCCGAGCCTCTCCTGTCCCGTCTATGAAACTCCCCGTACCGGGCTAGCTCTGGCCACTGCCTAGGCCTGGGAGCCTGGAGTAGCCCTGCCCTCCATCCCTCTCCTCGCACACACCTTCAAACAGACGCCGTGGGTCTTTCTCGTCCAGCGTCAGCAGCTCCCGAGCAGCCTTGCGGATCTTGGCCAGGGTAAATTTGACCCTCCAGACTTCACGTTTATTCCGAAGTCCATACTCGCCTGCAATGAGAGCGGGTGGTTGGCCAGAGATCAGAATGGTCTCTTTGGTACCACGGCTGGACTGGTGACTTGGGACCCTAAAAACCCCTTACAATGACAGGCAAACAAGACGGCAAACAAGAACCGGGCCACACCCGCGAACGCCGGACGGACGAGCACGTGGGGGGCCTCCCCACGTGTTGGCCTCTGCCCCGGCCCGGCCGCCAAAACATGCCGCGGTCACTTACCGATCAGCTTCAGCTCTTGGTCGAGGCGGGATTTCTCGAAGGGTCTCCGTGGGGTCACATAGGTTTTGCGACAAACCCAGCTCCGGGCAACCGGCATATTGTCTCCGCTCGCCCGTCGGCGCCTGCGCAGAAGAAATTGGTGCAGGGAACTGGGGCGCCTGCGCAGTCTCACAGCGACGCTAGCCCCTCATGGCGCGCAGCGATGATCTCGCGAGAACCGCCGCTGAAGCGTCCAATAAACTCCCCAATCCGCGATCCGACCACTCTCACCTCACCCCCAACTTCTGTACCACACTCACTAAAGTTCGAGACCCCGCATGACCTTGGAACCCGCCACCTCACCACACACCGTCGCCACCCGCTCACCTGAGCGAAGCCCCGGGACACTGAGAAAGAGACACGCACGCGTCCCTGCCGCGCTTTTATAGCCACCCATCTTCTCGTGACGTCAGCACGCACGGCGCACTCCTCCACCAATCAGAACCACGGAGGCGGGCGGAAGCGCCGCCCTGACGGGTAGTTGGGCCGGAGCGGCGGGCGCAGCGGGGAGTGGCCCCGAGGCCCCGCCGCCCCGCCTCCCGGCCGCGCCTCGGTGCCGGAGGGGTGGCCTCCCCGGACGGCGGCCGCCGCGCGCCGCGTCAAAGGCGCCCCGAGCCTGGAGCCTCGCGGACGCAGAGCGTCAGGCCGGGAAGCTCGGTGAGTCGGTGATGAGGGAGCCGTCGTCTTTCCTGAGAACAGAACGCCAACCCCAGGCGCCCCCACAGCTGCAGCCCGTGCGCCTCGCCTGCCGGGGTCCGTGCGCGCCGGCTTTCCGTCCTGGTGGGCTTCCATTGCAGCCGGGGTTCTGTGGCGAAGGGAGCGCTCAGCAGGGCCCAGGGCCCCCTCAGGAAGCCCCGCCTCACCTGGACCGCGTCGGCTCTCGGCGAAGAGCAGGGAAGTGATGTGAGAGAAATGCGGTCCAGCACGCGTGTGCGCGATGCTGTGGTGAGGAGTTACCGAGAAAAGGCGGAGGGCAGGGGGGACTCAGGTGGCAAGGTCAGAACCCGACACTGAAGAGACTTTTTAAAAATAAGGCTCCATGATGAAAGCGTTGTGCCTCCTTATTAAAACAATAACAAAGCATCCTCAACACTGCTGGGATCGCTGCCTCCCCGGCTGGAAATGGGCCCCACTTGCGCCTGCTGGACTGGGGTGGCCACCAGAACTGCGCTGGCCCCTCGGATGCAGAAACTGCACCCTCCTGAAGCACGAGCTGCTGCTCAGCCGATTCCAGGACGGTGCCAGGTGTGCCCAGGGCCGCGTCCGTAAAGAGGCCTCAGACAGGTGTCCCTGACGGAGCTGATGTTGGGGAGAATCAGCTCCCAGATTTACAGTCCTGTGTACAAACCTGCACATTTTAGTCAACATCTTGTTCCCTACATGCCTGTATTTTTTTTAAAGATTTGCTTATTTATGCATGCGATCTGGTGTACAGGACAAGGAGTGGCAAGAGGGCTCACCAGAGAGAGGGGAGGGGGCAGAACAGCGGACAGACTGAAATCCACTGCTAAGGGGAGCAGCGGGGAGACAGAGGTCTGCCGCCCATGTGGGGCACGCCCTGGCTCGGGAGCCAAGTGGCGATGGCATCCCAGGGCTGCGCTTCGACCCCTGTGCCGCCAGGGAGGCCCTCTGCTTTTTTTGTTGTTTTTTATTTTATGAGCTGCTGTTTTACTCAGATACCTGCCTGGTCACACGTGGCACAAGAACACTCAAGCAGCAAACCAACCATAACTCAGTGTTAAAGATTACTCTTCTGGGTTCAAGCACAGCACTATGAAGCCGTCCTGCAGCACAAGTTCGATCCCCACCAGGGGGCGGACCCAGTAGCTTGGCAGTCCTCTCCTGTCTCCCATCTCCCGGCTGCTTCCCTCAGAGCTTCCTGTTCTGCTGGCACTCTGTCTGTGGGAGTCCTTTCACCCTCACACCTCTAGCCTGAACCCCAGTTCTTGTATGTATTTTAAAAAGAAAGATTAGTCTTCACATGCTATAACCAGTGATGCTATGTTTGCCCAAGATCTCACTGCCATAAGCCACGGCTACACCTCAGTGACCACCAAGCCATTCAGCACTGTTCCCTTCACTGAGAGCTGTTAGAAGCTGTCGGTATTTGAAGCTGTTTATTCTAAGCTCATCCAGCTCAATTAAGCTTGACATAGTACCAACATGTGGCCCGTCGAGGCTTGGAGAAAGTCCCTGCAGCATTTAGCAGCACCAGGGCTTCTCCGTGAGGGTCTATCATGGCCCTGAATGGCCAGCTCAATGTCACCTCCTCGGCTGCCTACGCTGTTTCTCCTGTTGACCGTCTGACTTCCCAGAAGCCTCCCTGACGCTGGGCTGCCTTCCTGGATGACTTGTAGGCAAGTGTGCTGGCTTCCTGGGCTGTTTCTTAAACACAGGGGGCTGGTTTCCCAGGAAGATGGCTGCAGATTGTGGGCCGCAGTTCTATTTTTACATCTGACCTTGTCATTGTCCATTTGTAGATCCAGTTTCTCAACCAGAGGTGGGACCATCGGGCCCTCCCAACGCCTGTCCCGGCTGTGCCCTCTGCTCAGCAGGCAGTGTCATCTCCACGCACCCCTTTCTGCTCTCACAGCAGCCTGTGCTCTCCAGATGTGTGGCTTCAAGCTAAGTCGCCGCTGGCCAGCTGCCATACCCTGGACAAGTCTCTCCATGAAGCGCAGCTTCCTCAGCTATAAATGGAGGCGGAGCATTGCCTGCATCGGGCTTTGTGCGCTAACAGATGTGGTGTTTGCGAGTGCTCAGGATGGTGTCTGGCAGCAGGAAGGCACCCGCATTTTATAGCATCGTGACCATTACTTTTGCATCTTGCAAACTACCTGTTCTCTTTCCGCGTTTACAGATCATCTCCCAGACAAAACTAGTTAAGAGGACAGGAACCTCACCTTCCCTTTTTATCAGTGTCTGAGCGCAGGCCCAGCGTGTCGTTTGGTGACAGTCAACACATTGCTAAATAAGCGATTAACCATTTGTATCATCTGTAGATTTGAGGCTCCCAGGACCCCCAACTTGAGTTTTATTAATTTCCTAGAGCAGCAGCCAGAACTCAGGGAACTAGTTCATTTGGAAGATGGCTCCTTTAGTGCGGAATATTCCTTGGGGCCGGCCGGCCGGAGACGCAGAGCGGAGGAGGCAGGAAGGGTGTGCAGGTGCGGTGTTCCCCCGGGTCACACGTGTTCACCTGCCCCAAAGCTCTCCAGACTCCACTGGTTTGGGTCTTTGGGAGGCTTCATTGCTTAGCCACGATGAGTCGCTGGCTGTGGCTTAAACCTCCAGCCCCGTTCTGGGGCCGGGGGCGGGAACCTGAATGCCACTCTGACCGCGTGGCCGTGGCCGGTTATCCTGGCCACCTGGCCTTTGTCGAGGGCTTTCCCAGTCCCCTGACTAGCATACACTCGGGTGTAGTTGGCAGGTTGGTCGTGAATATGAAGACACCTTTATGCTCTCAGCACCCGGGACATTACCAGAATTACTGGAGCTGTGTCAGGGAGAGGACAAACCCAAACGCATTCTGAACTCTCAATCACAAGATCACATTAGTGAAAGTGGGAAGGTAAAAAATCAAGGACTGGGCATTTGGAAGGGGTGTTTTTAAGCTAGGGTGACTGCATGAGGCCTGAGAGGTGACAGTGAAGAAAAATCAGCCAGCAGTGAGGGACAAGAGCATGTGACCTGCCAGGGAAAGAGCATCCGGGTAAGGTGTGGCCAGAGACTGGTTTGTAATCTCTGCTTTTATTTCCAGGTGGGAGATACAGGTGAGTTTTAAACAATAGAGTGCCATGGTCTGATTTAGCTTTTAATCCCAGAGTGCCAGCTGCTGTGTTGAAAACAGACTGAGAAGGGCAAGGATGGAAGTCAGAGGTGAGTGGGAAGCCATCACTCCTCTGATGTTCTGGCCTTGGCCAACTTGTTGGAAGGAAGATGGGAAGAAGAGGTCAAATCCTAGATCTGCTGCATTTAGAAGGTCGTGCCAGGGCCCTCCTGGTGGCACAGGGGTTAAAGTGCAGCACTGTGAAGCTATCCGCAGCCACTGCAGTTCTGTCCTCAGCCAGGAAGGTGACCCACAGGGTGCAGACCGCTCCTGTCTCCCCTCTGCCCCCCTCAGCAGTGGATTTTGGTAGATATTCTGCTCCCACTGTCTCTGGTGAATCCTCTTACCTTGCGCACCTCTGGCCTACACTCGAGCTCTGTATGCCTACATAATTTATCTTTAAAAAGATAGTAAGTAGGGCCCTCCCTGGTGGCGCGGCGGGTTAAAGCACAGCACTGAGAAGCTAAAGCCGCTTCCGCATGAGTTCGATTCCCGCCTGCCCCGGAGGTGACCCCATGGCGCGGCAGACCTCTCCTGGCCCGCCCGCTGCTCCCCTCAGCAGTGGACTTCGTCGATCTGCCTGTTCTGCTCCCCACTCTGTCTCTGGTGAAGCCTCTCACCCTCTGCATCTCTGGCCAGGTTCTATATGAATAAATAAATAAATCCTTTAAAAAAAAAAGTAAAAAAAGTTGTAGCTATAGGGTTTAGTGGCTGACTGGATGTGGGGACATCACAAAGGTGTTTGTTTTTTAAGACTTTTAAAAAAAGGTTTATTTCTTGATGCATACAGAACTGGGGTACATGCCAGAGGTGCAGGGGCAGTGAGAGGATTCACCAGAGACAGCGTGGGGAGCAGAACAGGTTGTCTGACGAAGTCCACTGCTGAGGGGAGCAGTAGGCGGGTCAGGAGAGGTCTGCCGCGCCATGTGGATACCTCTGGGGTGGGGATGGAACTCATGCTTGGGTGGCTTTAGCTTCTTAGTGCTTTAACCCACTGCACCACCAGGGAGGGCCCTGTTTTTTAACTTTTAACAGCAGTCTTAGATTCACAGCAAAAATGGAGATTTGGGATTTCCTGTTAAGTCCAACACCTGCCTCCCAAGAGACACATAGCCGCCCCCATCAGTATCTTCCCAAGAGTGCAGTTGCTAGAGCCTGTTGTTTCCAGTAGGGTTCACTCTTGGTAGCGTACATTGTCTGGGCCCAGACACGTCTGACACGTCCCATCAGAGTATTTTCATTGCCCTAAAAATCCCCTGGTCTGCACCTCTACCCCCACCCTCCACCTCTGGAACCACTCACCTCTACTGTCTCCGTGATTCTGCCCCCCAGATGCCAGAGTTGCATTCATACAGAACACAGCTGTTCCTTTCACTAAGCACAGGCATTTAAGGTTCCTTGCTCACTGCTCACTGCTCGCTCACGGCTTGACAGGGTTTTGGTTTTTGTTTTCAGTAGTCTGACTGAACCAGATTTTCCCGTCATGCTGGTTACTTCCCAGTTTTGGCAGTGGCGAGTCGGCTTCGGTCAGCCTGTCTGTGCAGGTGTTTGTGCGGACCTGAGTTTGAGACTCCTTTGGGTGAACACAAAGCAGCGTAATTGTGGATATGGCGGCTTTCGTTTTGTAAGACACTGCTGAAGCAGCGGCACTTCTCTATTCCCGCCGGAAGCGACCGAGCTGCTGCTGTCGCCCCCTGCGCTGCGGACTCCCCGACTCCCCGAGGGTGCCTGTGGGTCTCCCACTGCTTTGCGCTCCCTGATGACGTGTGCGAGCCTTCGCGTGCCCATTGCCAGCGCTCTGTCCTTGTTAGGGGTCTGTTAAGACCTCCGACCCATTTTGAAGCAGGCGGTTCGTTTCTTCCTGTCCACTTTTAATAGCCTTTTTTATCGGGTGAGTCTTCTGGAATATTTTCATGAAGCCCTGTGTATCAGTTCTGGGGGTGTAGTTTGGCAGTTCCCATTTAGGTCTAGATTCCATTCCAGGTTAATTTTCGCAAAGGGCATGGCCCATGGCTTTCACTTTGTGACAGGGCACTGATGGCACAGTCCTTCGCCTTGGGTGTTGAGTAAGACCGTCCGTTGGCAAGCAGGAGTGTAAGACCTCTCTGGATTTCTGAGAGATCTGTCCATAATGGACTTGTATGTTGTAATATTTTTCTGGAGTTTATATATTTATCACATTCTTCAAGTTGTTATGTGGTCAAATACTTTTGAAAATTTTATAGCTGTCAATGTGTACTTGTTTCTTTTCAGAATACTGCTTTATGTGGGTATCACTGCTATTCATTAAAATTTTTTAAACAAATTCTTGGGTTATGTCCAGAATTTAAAGTCACGCGTAATTTTTAATGAATTCGGGAAGTCACCGATGCTAAGAAATATCATTGTTCCATCTCAGTTGTTTTTAATTGGGGAACTTTCAAGAGAAGCCCAGGACCGAGGCACTGCGTCACCTGAGGACCTTGCTGTGGCGAGAAGAGGCTGCAGGATGCTTTCCAGGCCAACTGCCAGAGACACAGAGGGTTAGCCAGGCAGGCCTCCGGGCCCGTCAGGAGGCAGGGCTGTGGCACAGGGTGAACTCTACTCAACAGAACCACATGTTGTCGAATTCTGTGGGCGACGTCCTGGTCATTTCTTAAGGAGAAAGGCAGATCTTGGGATCATTTTATAAATAAGTATTTTATAAAGTTACGTTTTAACTTTGGTATAGAAGGTATAAAAGTCATCCTCCCACATCCGGATCAAGTCCGTGGAGGCCAAGAGAAAGAGCCTGGCTGGGTTCTGGAGCCCCATGCCCTCTGGCATTCCCCTCCCCCTCCACACTGCTGTACCAAAACTGTAACACTCACTGCCAGGTTTTCTTCATATCGAGATGTGTGCATTTGAAATGTTCTGTCAAGACTCCTTCCAAGAAGTTTAGCGAGGCAGGAACAGCTTACGTTTCAGAATCAGAAAGGGCAAGTTTGATCCCCCAAATTGCAGCCCCGCCACCTGGAAGCTGCGCGACCTTGTCGTTTACCCCCGGCCAGTGCTCCCCCTCTGTGTCCCCAGGATTATCCTAAAAAGTCAAGTCACAATTTCCACATTTATTCAGCAAGTTTATTGAGGCCTCTTGGGACCTAAACCGGGTAGAAAACAGGTGTACCAAGCCCAGTCATCATGTTCAAAAGCTCACAGTTTGGAAATAGGTAACTACAAAAACAGCGCAGCCGAGATGTGCTTTGAAACGGGAGGGACGTAAGCAGCACGTCGTGTTCCTAGGTCTGGAGTCACACCTAGCTGCAGAGGGGGCAGGAGGGCGCGCAAGCCGCCCCGGCAGAGGTGAGTACGACCTGCAGGAAGGCTGCTCTCGCCCCTGCCAAAGCCACATCCCACGGGTCTCTGGAGCTCACTGCAGGCTGGCCCACTGCAGCGAGGTGTACACCACCTTACCATCCGGCTGTGGCGAACACAGGAGCAGTGTCTTCCGCACACTGGTTCCCAGGCGGCCTGCAGAAACCAGGTCCTGGAGTGGGATGGGGTCCCCAGGAGCCCAGCACTGAGCAATGTAGTGGGCATGGAAGCGGAGTGGGTCACCTGGGGGACAAGAGAGGCATGAGACCATTTCCGACAGCACAGGCCTGGACAACACTGGAACACGTTTTAGCAACTGCTACGAATATTCTAAAACAGCCAGCAATTCCACTTCTAAGAATTTTTTTCTTACAAGAACAGCAGCACTAAAATAGCCCTGTGCAGGTGCTCACTTTTCATTTACAATGGCGGAACCAGGGAAACAAACCCGAGGAGGGTTACATGTGTCCACATGACTGAACACTGCACAGCTTGTAAGATCAACAGTACCAACTTCAAAAATAGTCCATGATACTCGGGCTGGGGGAGAAGGGAGGGGACGCCACTTTTCACACACATGACATACACTTACTTTAAAAAGCAGTAACTGAGACAGAACACACACAAGAGAACAACACAACCAGACATACTGCCGTGACCTAAGAATAAGCAGGCCACAAGGTCAGTGCAAGCCATAAGGCGCTCAAGAGTAAATTACTACTAGCCAATTCGAAATGACTCAAAGAGATTTAAAAGAAGAAAACTAGGATGAAGTAATAAACACATGGGACAGAGAACCAATGAAATTTTCCAGAAAAGGGCCAGAGTCAATGCTTCCGGTTTTGTGAGTCATAGTGTAAACACTTAACTGCCCCGGCAGCCACAGCAGCCACAGACCACACACAACAGGACAGGCTGGTGTTCCGAAATACTGTATTTTAGAGAGCAGTCCACGGGCCAGATGTGGCCCAGGGTTACAGTTTGGACTAGAGGAACCTCAGCAAGGGGACTAGGAGCCTGGGCCCACGCATCACACAAAGGTTAAGAAACAGCCCGTGAAAACCTTGAAGCGCAAAGGCTATGAGGCAGCCCGTCTGAGCAGCGCCTGAGCAACTGACAGAGACCTTTCCAGCAAGAACCGCAGTAGACTGAGGAACCTCTGAGTTTGTGAGGTTCCTTGGTCCGTGGAGACGGGAGCACAAATGCTTGAGAAGGGGCCTCTGGTGGCCAGGGGCTGGAGTTAACTATCACTGCTAAGACTGCTACCCTGAGTTCCACCCCCGGCCAGGGAGTGACCCACATATGGCGCAGCAGGCCGCTCCTGACTGGCTCGCTGCTCCCCTCGGCAGTGGACTTCAGTCCATCCGCCTGTTCTGCTCCCCACGCGCTGCTTCTTAATCCTCTCACCACCCGCGCCTCTAGCCTGCACTCTAGTTGTTCTACACACAAAAAAAAATGTTATTTGAGAAGTTATTTCAAAATTATTTTCTTGAGGCTTAGCACCTTTTAACTTTTGGAACATTTAGATTTAGAAATAGTTCAGAGATTCAGAGCATGAACACTAACCTCTGGAAGACAAAGATTCAACACCTATCTCATGTAATGAATACTGTTTCAGAAATGGTGAACTCTTAGGCCAGCCTGTGGTTCAGTTTCCAATAAGTGACTGAGTGACTGGCTTCAACTTACCATTTTTAGCCTGAAAGTGTTTGTAAATGTATCAACAGTATTCGCGCATGCACACTTAGAAATTCACTCCGTTTACTCTCCGGGTGCTGAGCTAGTTTGCAGACACGGCCGACTAGAAGGTGGGCCTCACTGACAAATACGGGACCGCTACAGTGCCTCCCTCGGGAAGCACGCCAAAGACACTTCTTTCTGTATGGAAACCAAGATGGAGAGGCACTGTGGGGACCTGGCCCTGATTCCTGCGTGAAAGTGGTGGCTGGGGGCGCCTGGACCTACAGCATTGCTTCTGCTGTCTCAGGTCTGTCACCAGCAGACTGAACGAACTGAACGATCCCTACAAGTTCCACAATCTGAAACACATCAGCCCATAAGAAGGGAGTTAACGGAAAAGAACAAGTCATCCCATTTACTAGATTCAAGGTATTGGCAAGTTCCATGATAAGAAAGCTGCAGGACTTAAAAAGGAGCGGATCTTCAACTTTAAAATGTAGCCATTTATAATACTTGAAACTATTAAACTCCTTTTGCAAATGGGATGAAACAAATGTTTCCTTAAAATCTGCTAGGTCAGGGCCCTCCCTGGCTGCACAGGGCGTTAAAGCGCAGCACTAGGAAGCTCTCCACAGCCACTGCAGCAAGAGTTTGATCCCCAGCCAGGGAGCTGACCCACGTGGCGTGGCAGACCTCTCCTGTCTCCCCGCTGCTCCCCTCAAGGGTGTACTTCAGTCAGTCTGCCTGTTCTGCTCCCCGCTCTGTCTCTGGTGAAGCCTCTCAACCCCCTGCACCTCTAGCCTGTACCGCAGTTCTCATATGCATGAATAAATACATCTTAAAATGTTTTTTTAATCTGCTAGATTATAAAAGATTAGAATGTTAAACTGAAGCTTAGAAAAAGAATAAGGCATTAGCACTTTTATGTTAGTAAACTGTTCATTTTCTTTTTTTTAAGATTTATTTATTTATACATACAGAACTAGAGTACAGGCCAGAGGTGCGGGAGTGAGAAGATTCACCAGAAACAGTGGAGAGGAGACCAGGCAGACTAACGAAGTCCACTGCTGAGGGGAGCAGCGGGCAAGACAGGAGAGGTCTGCTGCACCATGTGGGTCACCTCCCTGGCTGGGGATCGAACTCATGCTGAAGCAGCTGTGGCCAGGTTCACAGAGCTGCACTTTAATCCTCTGTACCACCAGGGAGGGCCCTGAATGTTCATTTTGCATTCAAAAGTCACAAGAAATAGTTGTGAAGTAATTAAGCTCCTAATATGAGTACTTTATTAAACTTTTTACCCACGAGGACTTCATGGATTGAAGACTTAGTGGGCAAGTTCCAATTCCTTAGTAGGTTCTGTGTTTCCTTGGTTCGTAGGGGAACAAAAAAGGTGATTTTCTGCAGGTGATCTTTTTAACCTTTTGTTCCACAGTAAGGGCACGCTAACTACAGTTTGAAAATTAACTCATACCCGATACAGATTCTCCCAGAGGTAAGTACTGTTGTTGGGCTGGAGTACGTCCGTTCACTCGTTTTCTTGATTTAACTCTCTTAGTCTGTTAGTCTGTGCAGCACGCAGTTTTAAGTCCTTCTCACAGGAATCATGATTTTAAAGGCTACTTAATGCAAGCATAGCTACCAAGTAACATAAAGATATGATCTGCGTTTTACTATACACATTTCCTACAAGCTACTTTTTTTTTTGGACCCTTCAGTCATTTTTTCATAATTGTATGTGGGCCGCATCAATTTTCTAGCAACTGATGCAGTTTATCTGACAACCAACGTGAATGTTTAACCACTATTCTTCTAATTGTTCTGGCCATTTTCTAACTTTCTGATGCAAGGAATCCTGCAGTGTGCTTTCTTCGTGTGTTTTGTGCACATAGCTAAACGTTTTAAATGAAGCTTCTGATTCAAAGCAAAGGTTTAATAAGAATCATTAAACTGCCCTCCTGTGATTTTGGGTCCTGGGGCATTTCCTGTCCATCCATGGGTTTCAGAGGTTACCAGAAAGTGAAATGAAAAAAGGAGCAATGCGGAATAGAGTGGGTTTGTGAAAAAGGAACAGCAACTGGAAGTCCCACGGCAAACTCACCAGGATAGACCAGGAAATCACCCCCAAACTTGCCAGCGGCACTCAGGAAGAAGCCTCGTTCCCACAGGTCTCTGTAAATGCTGTAGCGCAGCTCGTGGGCAGGACGGCCGGCATGGGGCCAATCTTTGGACTGGACACGCCAGTCCAGGGGCCTAGCCTTGATGGGGCGAGGCCTAGCAGTGGCCAGCTGGACGAGCAGAGCAGATCTGGGTAAGGGGGTCACCCCATTTGAAGGCCCTGGCTGAGAAGAGGAGGAACCTGGGGAAAGCGAATTCAAGACTTTGGTAACTCCCGGGACCAAGGACTCCCCACTCCCAGGGAGTCCCAAGCCTCAGAGCCAGTCAAAACCCCCAGACTCCCCAGCTCCCCCCCTCACCTGCTTCCTCGGGCTCTCCAGAGGTCTGGCTAGTACTGGCCTCATTGTCTCCCGCAGGTGGGTCCCCACCGGCCTCCTGGCTCTCGCTAGTCCCTGAATCCTGCTCTAGCTTCTGCTTCTTCGCAGCCTGGCCCTCCGCAATCTTCTCTAGGAGCTCCTGCCGCCGGGTCTCGCGGGCCTCGGCCGCCAGGGCGCTCTGCTCCTGGAAGCCCTGCTCTTGCTGGCTCTTGAAGGATGCCAGAGCCTGAGAAAGGAACTCAGCTGACTCCCAGCACCCAGGCGCGCGCCGGAGATGCTGACTCCCTGGCCCCTCCCAACCTGAGCCCGTCCCAGGGGGTCCCGGTGTCCGACTCCCGCATTGTTCCAGAACCCAGGACTCCCAGAGACCTCCCTGCCCGCCCAGAGACCTGGACTGCGGGCGTTCGGCCTCGGCCCCGCAGGCGCCGGGAGTCCCCCACCCCTCCGGCCCCCTTACCAAGCTGTGCTGACGGGGATCCGGGCGCGGGGCGCTGACCAGGGTCACGGCGCCGATTTCCGCCAGGAGCCGCGCCTCTTCGGGCATGAGCAGCAGCGGGAGGCCGAGGCGCGAGTTCTGGCGGGGGCCACGGGGCAGGGCGCCCACTGTGCGGCCCCCTACTCCCAGGCGCTCCCGCAGCGCCTGAACCGCCTCGGCCCCCCACACCAGGGAGCGGCCGTTCGCCACCTCCACCACCAACATCCTCCTGCAGGGGCCGGGGCACAGCGGTCACCCAGGCCGCCGCGCCGCCCAGGAGCGCTCCC